TCTCTATGTTCTTACTCTCTAAAACTTACTTTTTATTTGATACAGACCATAGGTGTTCATTAGAGTAGAGTTGAAATAATGCATAAACTTCCTCGTTTCTACTAAAATGCCAACCTTTATGTGTGAGTTTGTTTACTAGCTGTTTCAACTACAGATAGTAAGTATCCAGGTAAAATTACAGACCTCCTTTCCCCCTGTCCCAGGTACTGTTCACAAGTGAGGACTAAGCCTTCTTTTAATTCCACCCTCATCCATAATCCTCTTACGGATCCCACACCAGCTCTGAATACACAAGGTACAAGAATGCTTGCAGTTTTCGACACCTTATAATCACAAAGACTATCTGGAACTCGATTAAATGAATACCACATCATTTACTCAAAGAAATATTTCAGTATTTCTACAGAACTTAATGTCATTTATATCTGGAAGTTATTTTAGGCAATAATTTGAACACATCCCTGCCAAAAGGGGGGGGGGTAGGAAACAAATTTTTGTACAGGAAACCTTAAATTCTTTTTACAGATACAGAAGAATGGCTAGGTACTTAAACATAACTTGTTGAAGGTTTCAGCAACAGTTCAAGACCATGAATATAATGTCATGGCTTCTGTCACTCGGCTTCAGTTTTAGAGTCACGGAGCTCTGGCCTCACCCAGGTTGACTGGAGGAATGGTGTTCCTTAAAAATCTCTTTGTTCCTTACCACCAGCATCTCGTGTCTCTGAGAGCTCTAAGATAAAGTGGCTAAGTTTGTCTGCCTCAGGTTGGAATGGCGACTGTGGATAGAATGCAATATAACCGTTAGGAATATTCTTCCCCCTGCCCGTCAATAAAGTCTGTATGGTGGAAGCATGTCTCTTGTGAGAACATCCCTCCGGCAGGGATTTCAGTCCTGAATAACCTCCTTGTTGCCTGCCCTATCGACTTTTCTAATAAGTATTATTTGTTTTATTGAAGGTCTGAGGCACTGAATGCCAAAAATGTAAAGCAGGGTGAAAGATCTATTATAAAAATCAATCAAATGAAACCAATTTGGATTTTTAAGTCTATCATTTTCTTCAATAAACAAATTATTTTGATACTGGCAAAATTGCATGCTGGAAAATTGTCTCCTGAATTAATTTCATAGAAGTTACTTAGATTCCTTCAGTTGCACACTGAACATAACATTTCTCTTGAGTCAAGAACAAGAACAAATACCAGGTCGGCACCTCTGTCCCTATGTATTGAAACGCTGGATGGGGCAGGAGATACCTTATGTAACCAAGTCTGCACTAAAGGGTAAGAACTCATTTTACTTATCTGTCACAATGTTCCTTCTGCTGTCACCTTCCTCAGGACTACACTTAAATGCTGCTCCCACCCCTTCTAACCAAACTTTTCTCTATGGAATGCTTACTTTGTAGAATTTGACAAAGATGTCTGCTCTTCATACGAGCCAGGAATAAGTCTGTTTTTTACTCTCAGTTGCTTTGATTTCTTTCTTGGTAAACACCAATGCCCATAGCAAAACTACAAATCAGGACAAACAGACTTCAGGTGAACTAGATCTTTCTAGGTCCTCTGTGGGTGACTCAAAAGCAACTAGAGTTATTAGTAAGTTATCCAACGGGGACACCCTACAAGGCTCCGAACAAGAGCATCCGTCACCAACGTGGCAACAAAGTTTCCACAGGACACTGAGAACTACCTGTCTGTTTTCGCGTCAGGGACCCTACACCTACGTAGGACACGTGTAATAAAGGACCAACAATGGAAGAAACTCTCAGGTACCTAACCAATAGGAATGTACAGAGAAATCCAATGGTAAGTAATCCAGGAGGTACTTTGTCTAGAAATACTGTCTATAACTCAGAGACAGTGATGTTAGTTAGTTGGACACCGGAAAATGGAGCAGTTCCTTCAGATTCTGTTTGTTCTGGGTAGCTTGTGAGTAACGACAAGATCCTATCAAGTCCAATTCCAAGACCAATTCCAGAATGGTCTTCTCCTTAGTCAAGAAGGGAACACATCACATTCATCTAAGTGTAAAACCTCAGGTAGGACAGTGTCTTCTGGATCACCAGGATCAGATGAAGCATGTTATGGAATAACACCTGTCAGTTATAAATCTGCTGAGTCTAAATCAGACATATTTATATAGAGACCATGAGCAGCTGGTTCAGAGGTACCTAAAGGCTAGAGTTTACACTATGCCTCAGTCACCTACGTTAACGTAAAACCGTATGTTTTAGGAACGTGTTCCATGGGAAGCAGTGACGCACAGATACACTAGATAATCAAGAAATTGTGGGGGGAAATATTTCTTAGCAAAAGTGCCACAACTCTGATGATTGCTTTTAATTTCAACAGAATAACGTGACCAGCGTAATGCATAATACATAGATATCTAAAACATAACACGCAGAGTCAAGATTCAAATAACATATTTTCACTTCGAAAATTGTCACTTTAACAAAAGACTTAATCGCATCACAATGAAATTTTAAATGCTAAGCCTCTGAAAAGTGATTGTATGAAAAATAATTGTATCACCACCAGTTTAGACAGAAGGAGCAAAAGGTGTCATTAACATAGAGGGAGAGCTAAGAAACGTGCCACAGGAACTATGAAAAGGATAGTACGTTTCGCAGTCCAAATTGCTTGACGCATCATCAGAGGTGCCGCCACGCTGCTCAAGCAAAGGCAAACAAAACTCCAAATAAGCATATTCACAGCATGCAGCCGACTCGAACACATGGGTCATAATTGGGGAAGCACTTCCTAGTTCAAGAGCAATTACAAAAATCATTAGACTCTTTTTAATAGGAGAATCAAAAACAGAATTTTCCCATAAACGTTTCCAAAAAGATCCAAACCATTTAGCCTCTATCATGTTAAATGTCAATAGAAAAGTAAATCTGTGGTCAGTGTTCCCATCAGATAAATAGATAAAGTTTCCCCAACAAAACATTATTCACTCATTTAAAAAAAAAAAAAAAAATGTGTGGAAAAAAGGAAGTAGAGAAGTAGAGAATTGGAGAGAGAGAGAATCATTCATTAAAGTCCAATTCCTCACCTATGGAGTTTCTTTAGCTCAGCTAGAGAAAGCACACACATGTCATTGCTTTGGCTCCTTCCAAAAATAAGCTATGATTGTCTGGAGTGAAAATAGTCCTAGAAAAGTAACAACAGAGCCTGGTCACCAAGAAGTCCTTTCTCTACTCACAAGATTGGTGCTTTTAGGCAGGAGCTCTGAGCTGTCAAACAACACCCCAGAAACTCCTACGATGTGTCTCTGATGGAAATGTAAGTCAAGGGCAAAGACATCATTCCCATATTTGAACATCGATTTTAAAACTCTTCTTGTGACAGAGTTAAGCAAAACCATGATTCTAACAGTTTACTGAAGTCCCTCTCTGTGGCATGAGATAACTTTATGAAGAACTAAAACGGAGATAGTGCTACATGACAAATATTTTATTACCTCAGACTACAGTGCTGAATAGGGCAACATTTAATAACATACATGGCAACTTCTTTAGTGACATGTACTTCACTTGGCTGCTTGCTAGTCACTTGACTCTAAAACAGTGATAATACAGCAGTTTAGGAATATTTTAAAAACCCCAACAAAGTCTACTACTCTAATCTTGAATGAAAGACTTCAGGTTAAAATACATCATTTCCAGGATTCATAATTATAAGTGATAACCCCAGATGAGCAGGACCTGTTAGCATCTTCCCATGGACATAGCCAAGAAGATTAATCGCCTAAGTCACCTATCTCAACATCTCATTCAATGCACAGGAGCGATGATAGATGCATTTCTGTCCTCGTTTCCAGGAGACAGCCGTGACTGCCAAGTTAAATCGGAGAACAAGTATGGGTCCTCTAATATAAGAATCTATATTAAACGTGAAGGCAGAGCCCCGGATGTGCAATCCACAGAACCCCCAAAAATAAATCAGAAAGAGAAGAAAACATACAAAACTTCAAAATCCACCCAGAGACAGTCAGAAACAGAAGCTATGGTCTTTGAAAAGTGACTTTCACAAATCAGTTTTGGGTGGTTTTTTTTCCCCATTTTCTTTCACAGTTTAAGCCTCAATCAAATCAGCGGTCTCTGGGGATTTTAAAATTGCTGTAGATTAAAATCCTCTCGGACTCAACTGTCTCCCTAATGCCAAGTATTTAATAATTCTACTTGTAAGGGACGTTTTTGATGAAACCCTGCTGTGTGCTATCTTCAGATGCTCAGCAGCTGCTCCACAATATGAAGCACTGCTGTCCTTATTTTCTTTATCACTCCATCTGGAGATGAGAAAATTATTGCAAACAGTTTCTATATTTGGCAGAGCTGGCAGAAAACAGCTTTACAATACTGATGCAGCAACTCTCACCTAACCGAGGCAGAGACCAACTTCCAGGTACTAATGATACATATTCCTGGCGTGGGCCCAAGGATAGGAAGTTAATAACTGTGATAGATAGACTAGAGCTAAGTTAATGAATTTCTAAATTTTATGCTTTCAATAATAGGGCCGTTTAAGCCTCAGCATTTGGACTCTCTCCTTCCACAGATCAGGCACTTTGATACTCAACAGGTTGAGTAAATTGAATCCATATATTGTATTTACGTTCTCTGTCAAGGTTGCTTCTCCACATTTGAAAGATCAAAGGCAAAGCAGTCATCAACCCTGTAGCCTTCAATACTGTGTTCATTACATTTAATCAAGTGCCAACTCCACCGCATCATCCACCAACCTCAACAATATTTAAATGCACGGCAATGTTCAGCAACAAATGTCAGCATAGTATTGTTTTAAAACACACACACACACACACACACACACACACACACACACACCCTCGAGCCCACAAGCACGTACGTCCTAAAGCAAAACTAAAAACAAAGCGAGAAAGGTAAAATATTATCATTCTTTACACTGTGCAAGAAAAAGAAATTAAAAAATGCACAGAACTACCCAAAAAACATTTTGGAGGTAGTTTTCTACCTGAGGCAGCATCAATCACGGTGGAAATTCCTCTTCGATCTGAGACTGGACGGGATGACCCTGGCATGCTGACTGGGTCAGAGCGGACCGGCTGGATCCTGCAATGCAATTTAATTTAATTTGCATATGTTACTGGCATCAAAACTGTCGCTTGCTACATGAGACCTTAAATCAGGAATGCTGGCATAGCCCAATCCATTAAAGAACCATTCATTCTGAAGTAGGGCAAACAGAGGAGCTGTGGTCCCTAACTCTTGCACAAGGCACAGCAAAAATTTTCTACACTCCTGACCCCCCCCCTTCTCTTTGTATGTTATTTAATATATTTTAAGGTAGGGATTGGAAATTTGACATTAATCTAAAGAAATAAATTAAATAGATTGGGAGAGGAAACAAAATACTTCCTACAGAGACCTTTGGCTTCTGCAAGAGGCAAATATGAAGAGTTCTGAGAATCCTCTCATTCAAGGAAAGTGCAGTAACTAGCAATGCTTCTAGAAAAGGCAGCAATACTCGATACACATTTTTTAAAAAATATTTTATTGATTTTTACAGAGAGGAAGGGAGAGGGATAGAGAGTTAGAAACATCGATGAGAGAGAAACATCGATCAGCTGCTTCCTGCACACACCCTACTGGGTATGTGCCCACAACCAAGGTACATGCCCTTGACTGGAATTGAACCTGGGACCCTTGAATCCCCAGCCTGATGCTCTATCCACTGAGCCAAATTGGTTCGGGCTCAATACACGTTTTTTAGTAACTGCCTTAAACCTCTCAGTGAAAGTTACTTTATATAAGACAATAAGCATACGACAGCAAAACTGTGTTGAAGGGGACTGCCAGTGGTTTAGCTAGGATCACTACTATCTGAGTTACCTCCATAAAATTATCAATTAGCATGAAAGAATCAATTAGAATCCCAGCAAAACTGCAATTTACTAAATACAATTTCAAACTGCTTATGAATGGTAAATCTATAAATAACAAGGGTCTATTTCTAGCTGTATTATCTTAATAACAAGAACATAAAAATGTCTGTATGACTAAAAAAATCCGAGCTTCCTAAGCAACTTAATAGAATAAAAACTTGCTATAAGAATATATGCCTGCATTTGGAACTTTGTTTATTCAATAAGTATTTGCTGAATATTAGTCATATATCATTATTATTCTAGGAATAAGCAGAAACAAAACATGAAATACAAGATCTATGTGTGGATATATGGTATAGCACATGGACATTTATGACTGAGGCAAAAGACAACTAACATGTCAAAATGAAGAAGGTAATAAAGGCTCCAAATTGAGAAGTAGAGGAATGAATGAATGGTCCACAGTGGATGGAGAAGAGTTTGTCAAGGGGTAACAAGAATTGCACCTGCATACAGTAACAGGGTATGTATACATGCAGAAGAGCAAGAGGTGCCCATTAAGCACAGAACTAGGACAAGCAAGCCCTTGGATTTGTGACTCAGCATGAGAAATGCAGGTGCCATGAGGAGCATGATTTGACTGAAGCATGGAGTTCAGAGTGGATACTGATGGAAGAGAAGAGGTTGATAATCACCATGGGACAGATTACACAAGCCTAAAATGCCAAATATGAACTGCAGAAAAAGAGTTCATAGCTACTGAAAGCACAGTTTAAATGTGTATGTATCTGTTATACGAAAAAAATGGGAGGGAGATGAAGTGTAAATCCATTTGATCGAGTACCAGAAGTTAGAATGTTGATATTAAACACTGATCACTGCTATCGTGGGCAGTGTGGTGTATGACCCAATATCCATTCACCCCAGCTTATTTTACCTAAGCCAAGGGAAAATGGTTAGGGCAGAGAAAAGAGGAAGAATTTATTTGAAATTTTTGCAAAAGATGTTTTCTGATTCTTGAGAGAAACAAAAATATAGTCTATGGTCAGGTAAGGCAAAGTAAGCCCCTGCCTGGTCTCAAAAACTTATGTAGCCTAATAAGTTTCCTAATATTAATTCAATTTATAGTAGAGTTTCTAAATAATCCAGAGTTGGGAGTGAGGTGTTTATGGTGCTATGGATGAAACAAGACTGGTCAAGAATCGATGTGTTGAAGCTGGGTGACAAACACATGGGGTTTATTCTATTATTCTCTTTAATGTTATACATGTTTATATGCTTAAAATCTATAATAATAAAAGAGTAATATGCTAATTAGACCAGATGTCATTCCGGACGAAGCCGGGGCCGGAGGGAAGCCCAGGTCCCGGGTGCCAGAGGGAAGCCTGTGCCGGCAGCTGGGGGAAGTAAGGCCTACTCTTGCACGAATTGTGTGCATTGGGCCTCTAGTTTTTTCATAATAAGAAAAGAGAAAAATAAAAACAAACTGACAGAGGTGATGGAAGTGTCCTGTCATTAAATAATGGGGATGTTGAATTGCAGAGTGAATTTTATGGATTTGTTTATTTTTTTTTAATTTATTTTTTTGGCCTTTTCATTTATTGAATTTACTGGGGTGACATTGGTTAATAACATGATATAGGTTTCAGGTGTACAACTAGCTAACCAATAGTGGGAGCTCTTTAGTGTGAGGAGAAGGAAAGTCCCCGAGGAAATTCTGGAAGTGTTTCAGGAAAGTGGCATTGGGAAATATAATTCGAAACACATTGTATCCAATGAGATCTCACATGAGATCCCCAACGATAAGGAATCACAAAATACAGAGCATGAATTCTGCAACAGGACGCTGTGCCCGAATGGAGAAATGTAAATGTTGCTGAAGATGCTCATTACAAATGAAAGTTCTAACCCAGTCAAATGACTCTGCTAGTTCTTACTTCTTACCTCAGACTGTTGAGATCAAGATCATCCGTATCAAAATCCATAAGGGGCTGTGGAGTATCACTGGGACCGTGAGACTGCAACACTGAGGAACTGGACGATATGACTGTGGTCTGGCCTGAGGGGTGGATGGTTTTGAACTGGAACTGTGGGCCCATCCACAGACGCCTGTGGGGTCCAGTGTGCGTCACAATCTCTACCTGGAACGGATTAGGAATCATGATTTAAATGTGGTAGGACCTTTGAGAGCCTTTCACAATCCGCCCCCATCCTGTCCCTGAACACAAATATTCTCAAAGAAATTCATTTTGACCAAGTGAAGGAGGGCCAGGGCACCCACAATCAAAAGGTGAAGATAATCACAGCCTAAGCAGACATTCACTATCTCCCTCTTACAGGTTTTCACAAAAAAAAAAAAAAATTCATTTTGTGCACATATATGTGTATATACACACACACACGTAAATATACACATACACCAGACCCACACATATATAAAACAAAAATCACATGAGAGTAAAAGAACCAGCCTCCTGTCTCACATGACTAGGGTCAACTCCTTAAGAACTACCTTTCTCATTCAGTACTTACCACTCTGGGCATGTACTGAGTACTGCACCTATAAATCCACATTAAAAGTGAATCCTGCACTGAGGACCAAGTTCATGACAAGCTTGAAGTTATTCCTAAACTATCCAAGGGGGGAAAAATAGATATAAAATAATTTTCACTACTCAAAGCTCCATTTAAATATTACAATATTTATTAACTCCTCTCAAAATACCCCATACTCCACTTTTATATTAAGAGAATGTTTCCTCAGCTACCACAAACAGTGACACAGGTATTTTAAAGGCCACAAAACAGTAAAACCAAAATGCTGTATGAATTTCATGCTTAGTCTATGGAAGGGGGCTGGGAATGCTGCCAATATTAAATGAAACTATTTAAAGAGAAAGCAGAGTAGAAGACACTGGGTGAAACTTGAAAACAAACATAGTATGTAATTTTACAAATGAGCAACGTGAGTAAGACGCACATATGCAAATCTTTGGTGAAGACTATTTCTCAATGTCTTCTAATTGCTACATCCATGTCTATGAACGTACTTGATAGAACGGACTTCCCATATGCCTTCCTTTTGCCCTGAGTTCCTCTATATTTAACCACATGTCTCTGATTGCGGTGATTAATTCTTAACAAAACATAACTGAAAAGGTTCACAGAGTACAGCTCTGGGTTTGTAAGTTCTGAAGGGCAAAAAAAGCGTCATGCTCTTGGAACAATATTCACATCCCCGCTAATCACCGGGAGACAACCACTCAGATTTAGGACAGTGATTTCTGAGTTGAGTAGTTGTATTCAGCAATGGAAATTAGGCCACAGAGAAAGCATGCTGCGTGTTTTGAGCTCAAAACCATCAGTGTCACAGAGCCGAGAGGTAAACAGATGCCGCGCAATTTCACAGAGGCGATGGTCAGATGTTCCTATTCACTCCCCTGTTGTGTGCGGGACAAACATATTGTATGGATGTTCACACTGACAGCACACATTACCCCTTTTCCTAATTGAAAAGTTGAGGTGAAGGATAGTGGTTTCTCTGCCAGCCGTCTTCTGTTTTTTGTTGTGTGGGGGTTTTTTTTGTTTGTTTTTTACTTTATTGTGTTATCCTCATGAAAGGATGTCCCTCTATCTGCCAGGAACTGAAACACTGACCCTCCTTCAAGGAGCGTCCGTGAGTATTTTAGGCGTGATGACATGTGTCACCTAGAAGCAATTTGTTTCTCTGGCGTCCAGACTCCGGTTAGCTTTTCGGGCAACCCTCCCTGTGAAAGCAGTAAACCGGCCGCCAGCCTCCGCCGAGGCACCTGTCTGATGAAAAGCCGCTGGATTGGTAATCGGAGACAGGTCGTTCACTTCACCGAATGATGTCAGCTTTGAAGCAGACATAACAGGATTTGTAATGAAGTCATTTGTAATCTCATCATTTTGAGGGCTACCCAAGTATCTTTTATTTCAAAGCCCTGAGATGAAGACAGCTTCACCTGGCAGGGGAGGAAGGGTCTGTAGAAGCTGCTGCAGGGCTACTGTAGAGACCGCTGGATTCAGCCCTGCATGAGCCGAGGAGAGGAAACCCAGTTGGTCAAAACCAGGACTCGCAGATTAGAATGCTGAGCTTCCCCGACCAAAGTATGGGCCCGATTTTCAGAAAATGTTGGCCCCACAAAACAAATCCCAGGGAATGCTGAATGACTTCACTGTTTTCACAAGGCGAATTCTTATGTTAATCCAAAGTGTCCATCTAAAACCCAAGGTCCTCAGGGATATAAACGGATTGTTTGAAAGATGTGTATTTTATGCCCTCTGCACAAAAGCTAATGCACACACACACACAGAGCATAAAATAATAGGTGTTATATATTCCTGCAACAGTAGTTAGGAAAAATTCTTAATATGGAAAGACAACTGACTAGCTTATTAACAGTCCTAAATAAAAGGTCCCAGTTCTGTCCATTTTCCTCTAAGGAAAATACTTTTTAAAATTCAAGAATAGAAACAGACAATGATTCCTTTTTTTTCACTCTAACAGGCCAAACCTTTCAGAGTTTTACCTGAGAAAGCCATTCTTCGTCTTCCTGTCCACTGTGGTCGGAAGCTAAACTGTCATAGGACCCATGCCGAGTAATGGGCCCAGGACTTCCAGGGGGAACCACTAGAAGAAAAAGAAAACAGGAGTATAAGAGGTGTGTGCACACATGAAATATCTGTACAGCCAAGCTTCCTGGCCAGCTGCTGCCTCCTCTCAAGGCAACAAAGTTTCAATTATAGAAGGTAAATAACCCCCAGATACCTGCTTCCAGTCGCCATGGCCACGGAGCTGGAGCGAATAAAAAAAAAAAAAAAAAGGAAAGGCTGGGAGCTTCGGTCACCAGGGGGCTTGGTCAGTCTGAAAACAGCCATCAGCCCCTCACCCAGGCTGGCCAGGCACCCCAGTGGGGACCCCCACCCTGAAGGGGGTTTGGGAAGCCTGAAAACTGCCCTCAGCCCCTCACCCAGGCTGGCCAAACCCCCATGGGGTGAGGGTCCCCACTGGGGGGCTTGACCAGCCTGCAAACAGCCATCAGCCCCTCACCCAGGATGGCCAGGCACCCCAGCGGGACCCCCACCCTGATCTAGGACACCCTTCAGGGCAAACCAGTTGGCCCCCACCCGTGCACCAGACCTCTATTCTATATAATAAAAGGGTGATATGCAAATTGACCCTAACGGCAGAACAACTAGGAATAACTGGTCGCTATGACACACACTGACCACCGGGGGCAGATGCTCAATGCAGGAGCTGCCCCCTGGTGGTCAGTGAGCTCCCACAGGGGGAGCTCTGCTCAGCCACAAGTCAGGCTGATGCCTGCCAGCACAGTGGTGATGGCGGGAGCCTCTCCTGCCTCCTCAGCAGTACTAAGGATGTCGGACTGCAGCTTAGGGTGCTCCCTGCTGGCAAGTGGACATCCCTCAAGGGCTGCTGGGCTGCCAGAGGGATGTCTGACTGCCAGCTTGGGCCCGATTCCCCAAGGAGTGGGCCTAAGCCAGCAGGAAGACATCCTCCGAGGGGTCCCAGACTGCACGAGGGCATAGGCTGGGCTGAGGGACCCCCCAGAGTGCACAAATTTTTGTGCACCAGGCCTCTAGTGTATATATATATATAAGCCTAAGTGACCAGAATAGAACTAAGATGGCGGCATAGGTAAACACCGGGAAATTGTCGCCTCACACAACAATTGAAAATTACCGCAAAGGACTGAGCAAACATCATCCAGAACAACAGGAAGGCTGGCTGAGTGTAAATTCTACAACTAGAAGGAAAGAAAAGCACGCTGAGAGCCAGAGGCGCTGCGGAGGTGAAGTGCAGAGGTATGGCGGCTCAGGCGCGAGGAAAGGGGGTGGCGCCTGAGGACGCGGCTGTCTTTTTGAATCACAAGCTCCCGACTGCTCTGAACTCCGGTTCCGGGAAGTCTCTGGGGACCCAGGACTCATACGGGGAGAGGCTGGTCTGTCCGGCAGCGGGCGAACTTGAGGGCAGCTTTCCCTCAGAGGTGCTTGCAGCCGTTACCGGGACACTGAGACGCGCGACTCCGGGCGGAGAATCGGCCATAGCTGCTTTCTCCGCCCTTTGACTCCCTGAGACCCCGCCCCACCCAGGCTGCGGCAGAGGCTTTTGCATGTGAATGTACCTAACTGCAGCCGAACCAGGCAGACCCGGAACTTCCAAGAGAAGGCCCAAGGCCCCGCAGCGGCTTGCATTGCTTCACAGCTGAGCCTCTTCGTGGCTCCTGCTGTGTGGCCTCAGGCAGAGGCTGAATTAGCACCTCCTTAGATCCAGGAGCCACTGTACCCAGTGGTCAGAGGGGGACCATCCAGACTGCAACTCCTCAGATCCATAAGGGACACACTCAGGGAGCAGACTCAGTGAGCACCAAAGCCCCACTGAAGCAAGTCTTGCCCCAGAAGGGTGTCTTCAGCACAGAAGTTCTCCCACTTTAGACACAGCTGATTCTCACAGCCAATTGGCCTGGAGGTCAATTCCTCCCAGTGATTCTACAACAACCAAGGCACCAAGAGTGCACCAAGAGTGTCCACCCCAGGTAACTGGGGAGGCTGAGCTACTGGGCCCTACAGGACACCTGGCGCACAGGGCCACTCTATCAACACAGGGAAGCTGCCAAAATGCGGAGACAAAGAAACAGGTCACAAATGGCAGAAATGGAGGAAAGCAAACGATTAGATATAGAGTTCAAGGCCACATTTATAAGGTTTTTCAAGAATTTTATGGAAACCGCCGATAAATTTAATGAATCCCTCAATAAGTATAGTGAGACCATGGAGGACATGAAAAAGGACCAACTAGAAATTAAGCATACACTGACTGAAATAAAGAATAATTTACAGAGATCCAGCAGCAGACAAGAGGATCCCAAGAATCAAGTCAAAGATTTGAAATACAAAGAAACAAAAAATACCCAACCGAAAAAGAAAAAAGAAAAGAGATTCCAAAAATATGAAGATAGTGTAAGGAACCTCTGGGACAACTTCAAGCGTACCAACATCAGAATTATAGGGGTACCAGAAGGAGAGAGAGGGCAAGATATTGAAAACCTTTTTGAAGAAATAATGACAGAAAACTTCCCCTACCTGGTGAAAGAAATGGACTTACAAGTCCAGGAAGTGCAGAGAACCCCAAACAAAAGGAATCCAAGGAGGACCACACCAAGACACATCATAATTAAAATGCCAAGAGCAAAAGATAAAGAGAGAATCTTAAAAGCAGCAAGAGAAAGACAGTCAGTTACCTACAAGGGCGTACCCATACGACTGTCAGCTGATTTCTCAACAGAAACCATGCATGCCAGAAGGGAGTGGCAAGAAATATTCAAAGTGATGAATAGCAAGAACCTACAACCAAGATTACTTTATCCAGCAAAGCTATCATTCAGAATAGAAGGTCAGATAAAGAGCTTCACGGATAAGAAAAAGCTAAAGGAGTTCATCACCACCAAACCAGCATTATATGAAATGCTGAAAGGTATTCTTTAAGAAGAGGAAGAAGAAAAAGGAACTCTTACCATTTGCCACAGCATGGATGGAACTGGAGAGCGGATAAATACCACATGATCTCACTCATTTGTGGAATATAATGAACAACATAAACTGATGAACAAGGACTGATCCAGAGACGGAGAGGCATTGATTGGACTGTCGGGACTTGGAGGGAAGGTAGGGGAGGGTGGGGGTAAGGGGGAAAGATCAACCAAAGGACTTATATGCAAGCATATAGGCCTAATCAATGGACATGGACAACGGGGGGGTGAGGGCATGAGCGGGGGGGGGGGGGGGTGGGGGGGTAACGTGGGGACAAGGACACATATGTAATATCTTAATCAATAAAAAATATATTAAAAAAAAAAAAAAGCCTAAGTGACCAAACGACTGAACTACCAGTTGACCAGTAGCTATAACACACACTGACCACCAGGGGACAAACGCTCAACACAGGGGCTGCCCCCTGGTGGTCAGTGTGCTCCCACAGCAGGAGCGCCACTCAGCTGACTGACAGGCACCAGAAGCAGGGCTATTCTAAATAGAGGTTTCAAATTAAGAATGCTTTGAAGCATTGAGAGGTATCACAATATAAAAAGAATACCAGTAGGTGGGATATTCTTGTTCTCAACATGACATAAATATCTTCCTTTCTCCCTCAGATTTCTGTACATTTAAATACTTCCCCAATCAGGTAGGAAGAACATTCCACCTTCACTACCTTGGGGAAACAATGATATACCAGGTTACAATGAAAAAAAAGTTCAAAACTTGACCCTGGGATAAGGAAAAAGGATTGAATGTATGACAAGAACAAAATTTCCATGCTCTCTGACCACTCAATTCTTAGGAAAGATATTCTGAAATTAGAACAAGAGTACCATAAACAGAATCAGGGGGAGGTGGGGAGGGTTCCAAAGAAGGGTAGAAATTTATGGAATCCCAGGAGTCTTAGGGTTGAACAGCTGTGAAAAAATCATATCTTAGGGTTCAAGCAAGTAGCAAGAGATTCCTCATGTTGCAGGAATATAAGAGGTGTGTGCACGCATGGAATATCTGTACAGCCAAGTCTCTAACAACCTCTTCAAATTCCCCAGGAAACAGTTGAGAATATTAATATGTGTCCAAGGGTAATATGAACACATTCCAAAGAACTAACAGGCTTTGAAGTAGAAGCAAGGGTGAGTGCTGCAGAGGACTATACAGAGCCATACCCAATGGTCAGGTAGGGAACTGGGACGTCTCAGTGGTTACAACAAGGAGAAAACGTCCCCAACTCTCCCATCTCATTATCTTTGCACTACGTAAGATGCAATTTTGGAGAGGGTAATAATTGATTCATTGTTTTCCACATTTGTCAGAATAAAGGTACGGAATGAATTTAAAAGAGTTTATTTATAGAAAAATGGACTATCTATCTTGCAAGTGTGAGTTTAATGAACAAACATACATACATACACCTTCGACCTAAAGAAAAACATTATCCACTAGCCAGGTTGGCTCAGTGGATAGAGCACTGGCCCTCGAGCTGAAGGGTCCCAGGTTCAATTCCGGTCAAGGGCACATACCTCAGTTGCAGGCTCAATCCCCAGCTCTGGTTGGGGTGGGTGCAGGAGGCAACCAATTGATGTGTCTCCATCACATCAATGTTTCTCTCTCCCCCTCCCACTCTCTCTAAAAACTCAATGGGAAAATATCCTCAGTGTGTGGATTCACACAAAAAAAAGGGAAGGAAGGAAGGAAGGAAGGAAGGAAGGAAGGAAGGAAGGAAGGAAGGAAGGAAGGAAGGGAGGGAGGGAGGGAGGGAGGGAGGGAGGGAGGGAGGGAGGGAGGGAGGGAGGGGGAGGGAGGGAGGGAGGGAGGGAGGGAGGGAGGGAGGGAGGGAGGGAGAGGGGGGAAAAAGGAAGGAAGGAAGGAGGAAAAAAGGAAGGAAGGAAGGAAGGCATAAAGCTGAGACAGGAAAAGTATGAAATTTTGAAACAAAAACATCTGCCATGTTCCATCCCTGCCTTTATCCCTACTAGTAAAATAATATAAAACAAGCCTATCCATCTAACTAAAAAGGATACCCTGTCAATTTATTTTAGAGAATATAACTTCAAAAGTACTGCCTCTACACGG